TCTTAATGGGGGACTAGACTTTAATTCCAAACTGACTCCCAATTAATTCCAAGCGCACACTTTATGAGAACTGTACATGCATTCCAAGCTAGTTCTTTACGAGAAGTGAATTTCAATTCTAAGCTGACGTTTTATGAGGAATGAATTTCAATTCCAGTATGATGATCATGGTTTCAAAGTCATGAGTATGAAAGACCACTGGAGGAAGGAAAAGTTTCCCTTTTTGTACTCTGTTATTTTTTAATGTTTTATTTCGGATATTACTCATTCTATATGGAACAATATGTTGATTTTCATTTATTAACTTGATTCCCAAAGATTTCAGAGCGTACAAACTAGTTATTCGGTTAACTTTACATTTCAGTTTTGCTTTCCAACTGCAATTTCCCTTGATCTTGTTGCAAAAGACAGTTTTGCACGGCCAAATTGAACTCATCTGGTCAAAGATCTCTTAGAAAGTAAAAAGTAATCTAGACCACGAACTTATAGTGTAAGTCTGAAACGCTCTAGAGAGTATAATTGGAATTCGTAATCCCTTCCATAAACCATTTAAAGCCAGGAAACAGCATTGTGGAATAAGTGAAACTAATTTTCAAAGTATATTTTGAATTGTTTAATAAAATAAGCACTCCTTGCTGTTACCTAAATTAAGAGTAATTGTATATTACTATTTACCCTTTCAGTGCTACAAAAAGTTCATTTTTTTTATGAAGGAATAATGATAATATCGGTATTTAGCTTCTATTAATGTTTATAGTTATTGTAACATTTTGTATCAGTGCAATGAACAATGAAGTTTTTTTTCCACAATATTATTTTTTCCTACTTTGAGTCTAAAAAATAAATATACATATATATATGTAGACATTATTTCGAGACGCAATTTTCCCAAACCAAATTTTGAAGTATATAATGAATTGTTAAACAAGAAGTTCTTATTATTTTTTTTTAAATTAATAGTGTAATAATATATAACTTTCAATTTTTTCGCATGCCGCAAAAAATACTTTTTTCATCAAGGAATAATAAGGATTCCGGCATTTCTCCTATTGATTGACCATTATTTCAATGCTTTCTTCCAATTTAATGAACAACATGCCTGCAATTATTAATTACAAATAATTGTTTCTTTCTTGTACCAAGTATTTCAATTTTAAAAATGTTCAGTTGTACCTATATATTAATATTAAAATACGAGTTTGAAAAGTTTAAAAAAAGTCTTAATATAAATTGTTTTTATGAAATACTTTTTAATCGCTTATAAATAAATGCATTATGGAATTTATAATTAATATTTATATATTTTGCAATTTCGTATAAAAACTTTTTCATTCTGATGTAAAAACTAGACTGTAACATACAATTTTTATTTGCCTAGATCTCTAAGTGTATAATTCACCATTCTTTAAGTACGTATATACTTATGTATAATTAATTATATAATTATACATAAGCAATTGTCTTAAACATTTGCGGCCAAATAATTGTATTTTTGAAACAAAAATTGTAAAAAATAAAATCATGAAATTTACTTTAAAAAGATAAAGAATAATTATAGCTGTAATTTATAACAAAAAAAATTTGTTTTGATTAAAAATTACTCAATTACCAATGATTGGCAATTTAGTTTTAATTGAAATCAAATTGAATTGAAATCAAATCATTACAATTGTCTAAGACAAGATCAAAAAAATGAAACATTGAAATTGATTAATATGAACTTTAATTCAAACATCGTTAAAAACACAACATGTAAAATACACAATTTTTCAACATGAATTATAGATAAAAAATGCTATTACCGCTTATAGTGTCATTGCCAAATTCATGATATTTCACATTAATTTAGCAATAAAAATAATTTTGGGAATGTAAATAAGTCTCGGGGATAAATTAAAGTAAAACATTTATTCAAGTAAATGCATAAATACAACGTTAATCTATATAGTTTAAATATATATGGTGTTTAAATATTTCAATGTTATTTAAAATTTGGATTTATGATTAATGTAAAATAACTTTTGGCATGAAACATAACGAAACTTCAAGAAAAATTTACATCATATAATAATGAATGAGAACACTTTTAATTTTAACGCAAAACACACACATATAAAAAAGTTTACAAAGTAAAGCAAAATTTTTGAAATTGTATTAGCATTGAAACATTTATTATTACATTATTATTACAATTACTAACATAGCACACTAAAAAACCTACACAAATTCTTTTGATAAGTTAAAACACTTTTTCAGTATATGATTTTATATCTTACAAAAAACAATTACAAGATTCATCTTTATGAGCAATGAGAGTAACATTTGATGAATATGTTTTAACTACACAATTAAATAGAAAATACTTTCACTATCTTACTTCGCAGAAAAACAACAATATCACAAGTATTTACCAATACGAAATGTATTGAAGTAATTTTATTCTAAATTTGAATTAAATAATTTAAATTAAGTTAGCTAGTCATATATCACATGCAAAAGATGTTATAATAAATATTGATTCGCGACCTTATCTTTCCCTCATAAGCTGATTAATGCATTAATATACATTTATTTACAAACAAATTTACGACACTACAAAAGAAATATTGTTAAATGAATGACAAAATGATAAATAATTGTTAAATAAATTGCTAAATGATAAAAAATAATAATAATATGAACTATGCGAGCTCCATCAAAAGACGGGTTTGGTTTTTTACCCACCCACGTAGTATATGTTAGATGACAAAAGTTGCAGTCGATTATTTTCTCTTTACGAAATTTCTTATTAAAACAAGAAAATATTTCGAATTTATTTTTATATTAGAATATCAACAAAAAAAAATTTCTAATTTTTTTTCTCTATTAAGTCTTCATACGCTTTAGTTTCATAAAATCAAGTTGCAATTCGTAAAATATATGATAAATTATTTACAAGGAAATCACTTATAAAATCACGTGTACGTGCATTTGCTATAATTTAAGAACACAATATTATAGTTTTTAAGTTATGCTGTAATTTCTTCTATGATTACAGAAGAAATACACATGTAGTATGACACCTGTATATGCTTTGAATTGAAATATGAATTTAGAACATTGTAATTATTTATCTGCATTTAAATTGGTTTACATTTTAAATCTTTCATAAAACTTACATTATTTGTTTATCCCATGCATTATTTATTTATATTCAATAATAAAGTTCATTTGCGTCCAATGCATAAATTTATGAGTTTGAAGGTAATAGGAACGTTATTATGGAAGGTAATCTACAAAACTCTATTCTAAATTTACTTTGCAGCTTTAAGAATATTCATATTATTTGGATAAATTTATGTAATATAAAAATTTTTGAAAATTGTCTTTTTAATGGCATTTGTTTTTACAGGCAAATTCAAGGTATCTCAATGGGAAATTGTTATTCAAGTGCATTTGCTGATATTTTCTTACATTTTTATAATAAAAAAAGCTACGACATAATTTATTAATTGGTTTTAGATTTATTAATGATTTAATTATTTTTTATTGTAATTATTTTGATTTAATTAAAGATATTTATCCTAAAGAACTAAATTTAATAAAGACTATCAGATGAAAATGGCGCTAATTTTTAGATCTTGATATTAAACTTCATTACCACAACATTTTCATTGGATTATATGATAAAAGAAGAGATTTTTAGTTCAATGTTATTAGTTTAAGTTAATTCCAAACCTATACTTTAAGATTTTTAAGAATACTTTGGTTGATCAAATCATTAGGTTTAAATTTATTTGCACCTAATGATAAGCTATCGGGAAAGCTATCGGGAATAAGCTATCGGGCTTTAAGCTATCGGGAATTTCAAAATTACATAAGAGAATAATAATTTTCCTTTTAATTACCGTAATTATGATATTTTAATTCAAAGTATTTTAAAGATGTTCAAATAATTCGGTCGATATTGAAGCCCGTATAAATAGGCCTACAAGGTGAAATATAGGATTTTTTGTTTCTGAAGCATATAGATGGCAGCATTTTCTTAAAATTTTTACTCATTGAATGTTTTTTGCTTTATTTTTCAACATATGGGTCAGCACTTTATATATTTCTAAAGTTTTCTTAATGATTTGGAAATTTATATTTTATTTTGATTTGGTTACTGTAACTGTAACTTTATTTTTTTTACTTGTGGGTGTTTCATTATTAAGTCTTTCTCTGTTTACTTTAAATTGTGTATGTTTGTCATTAATTTTTCATTACATTTATAATTCAAATTTTCTAATTGCTTTTTCTTATTTGTTTAACCATTATTGGGCCTAGGGGCACAGTCAGTTTTTTGTATTACCAGTGACGACAGAAAATCTCATGTGTGTTGGCAGGCAGGGTGTGTCCCCTGATGAAGTGTTGTCTAGCTGACACAAATTATCTTAAAATATTCTTCGTTTTCTGCTAGAATTATATTTCTCACATTCTAAATTAAAACAAGACAAATTTGGTTTTAGCTGCCTTTAGCGCTTTTCCGTTTTGATTTATTATTTTAAATGCTATTAACTTATTTTGTCTTTTATCTGAATTTGTGTAAATCAGTTTCATTCTTTGATTACATATTATTTGTATATCATATTTATTACATTATCTGCATGCAATAATGCAAAGATATTTAAATAATATTTCACGACATACTAGATTAAATATACAGCTTATATCTTACAAAAAAATTATTAATGTGCGCATCATATGCATTCTATTATCTGCATTCAATAAAACATAGAGAAAAAAAGGTATGGTCAAAATTACCAGTATAAGGTAAAAATAACTATGTTTCTGGCTCTATGGAAACATAAAAAAGTATGGTAATTTCACTGAAGCATTTTGGTAATGAGTCTGACAAAATTAACAATAAAATATTGTTTTATAATATGCGTTAATGTTTGGTAATTATCGTAAAATTTGGTAATTTTATCATGATACCTTAGAGCAAGGCCTAAAGACCATTAATTTGGTTAAATTTACTTTGCAGTTTAAGTTTAATTTTACTAAATGTGTTTCCATATGAACGGAAAAATTACCATATGAATAACTTATATCGGTATATTTTGGTATTAATAACCATAATTACGGTTTTCTTTTCTACAAAAAATGTCAGCGCAGTACGGTGATTTTACATGCTTTTTTTATCCGTTTATTAATAACATAAACCTTTATTTACATTTTAATAAAAGATTTCAGGAGTAAAAAATTTTATGTCATACGAGTTTAAAATGCAAACAGCATTTATTGATATTCTATAGCTGTAAAACATTGTATCGTTCTAAATTTACACTTTCATAAGTTTTAATTTTAAATAAAGGTGTATTAATATCTAAAGTTTAGAAACTTCATTACACTGTAAAATAATTTTTCAATTCTGAAACAGTATTTTACACTAATATACAAGTAATTATTGTAATATTTTACACAACAAATTGTAATTTTTGTAATTATAATTTGTTTTTAAATTCCAAGTTTAATCAGAGCATAATTAATTAAAAAGCACAATTTTAAACTAAAATAGTCTAGTGATGTTTGCTAAACACAGAAGACGAAAGTAGACAAACTAAATCGCTTACAAATTCAATACAACAAATGAGGCACGTATACACTTTCATTTTGCAAAGCAACGCAAGTTCAAACATTTGATGTTTACGTGAACGAAAAAGCTCTATAACCTGAGTGAGAACAGTTCTAAATATATTTTACTTCATCTTCTTGGTGTTATCTGCACAATGATTCCATTATGAGACCGTAGGACCATTTCAGCTGTGAGCTGAAGCTGATCCCTTGGAACCAAAGATTTCACTTCATAATTCATTAAAACATGAGCCAGAACTACTTTCTCTTCCATCATTGCAAATCTTTGTCCTGAAAATTCAATAATTCATGATTATAAATACAAGATGATCCATGATGAAAGTCCTTAGACTACATTTACATAATAAAGAGTCACTATAGAGGAAGGCGGGAGTGAAAACATAACAATCTGTTTCAGTAAAAGGAGAAACAAGTGGGTGGATTGAATCGTATTTAATAAAAAAAAACCTCCAAGTTTCCTCAGGCAATCAAATTGGCTTTCATATTTCATATCTCGTTTATCTCACTAGTGATGAGAGAACACACTATATTCTTAACTTGAATAGATGTGGGAAGTTGTAGATAGAAATATTCATTTCAAAAATTAAAAAAAAATACTTGTTGAGTTCACATTAAGTGCACGAGTCCATTCCAATTTAGAATGTTATTTAATTAAATTTTGCAAAGTTCTCACTAAAATTATTTAGAAATTGTTCACATAATAAAAAATTTAATTTCGTAATGCTTAAATTATTTTAGTCGCATTATTTAATAGCGATTTCTGTTTTTTTCTGTTTTCAGTTATACTTTTTACAATACTTAAAAAAAAAGTGGATAAAATCAATGAATTCAATGTTTAACCATTTTTTCCATGTAAATTTTTTGTAATGGTTTTTTTACCGAATAAAAATTTTGTTTGTAATTCAACAGAAACAGAATTGATTTTCGAGGGTTATAAGCTTTATCTACATTAATTTAACATAGTTTGTGCATTCTAATGCCTTTTTCATAATAATTTTTATCCGAAAGAAAATATGGGTTCCATATTTTAGAAAATAAATTATATACTAGTCACACGAAGCAAAACAAAGAAAAAATGCTTAAATGATAAATTGGTATCAATCAACCATTCACAAAACTGGAAGGCATATACCACCACAATTAAAAATACTAGAATAAATGTGTTATTATTTCTAGTCACTTTCGGTGACAGAAATTTGTCAGAAATAATGGTTAAATAACAATTGTTATTTTATTATATTCAAACAAAACAGTCGAATAACTATAAATAAGATGGTATTCAAACTGTTAACTGTAGGAAAACCGTTTATTAACTGCCAAAATTTTATCGTACCTACTAGGTCTATTTTTTGAAGTCACTTAGTTTCTTGCAGATGTGTACATATTATAGCGGAGAGGGCTAATCTGTCAATTTCACGTCAATGTGAGAGAGGGTGTTCGAATTAGACACTATAATATTTCCTTCTTTCCCTTTAACACAGGAATAGTTGCCCACCCAAATTTTAGACCCTGGGTTAATAAAAAATGATACTCTCATTTGCGCATAGCTGGCAGAACCATAAAATTGCTAAACTGCCGCCAATAGCTAGTTAAATCTTCTTTTACTCTTTTGAAACGCTGCTAGTTGTAAATGAATAAAAAGCCGTATAGTTTTGCTTTCATTGTTTTTTAACCATAATTGTTGTAAACGTTTTCAAAACCATAAAGATAAAAAATGTTCCTTAACGTAAACTTTACGGTTAATTGGATAAACCAACTGCTGCCGGTTATTTAACCATAATTTTTGAATGCATAAATTCTAACAGTTCGTGATAAGACAAATCCGTATACGTTTTTAGAAGTTCATCTCTTGAAGATAAAGATGAATTATATTCAGTAATACTTGCTCATTTGTTCATATCTTCCTATATAAAATGCACGAAGGAAATTATAAATTTAAAAAACGAAATAAAGAACAAAATAAACACGTGTTTTTTGATAGATTTCACAATACTAATTCAGCGATATCATCTTACTTTTATTTTGCATGTGCTTACTTGACATAACAGATCAAAAAATTAAGCGATAATTAAATTTTGAAGAACATGCTGTGAACTTGAGAAGTTATAATTATCGACTATGTCAACCACAAACCATGTTACGCCACAAACTCTCAGTGCAACTCAACTTAGTTCAAACAGAGCTCTAAGCTAGCAAATACCACTGATGATGGTATTTAAACAGTTTTGAAAATTTTGAATGATTTCCAGAATCTAGGTTGGTCTGAAATTACTCTTTTACACACTGCCTTAATTTCATGGTCTTAGAACAAATAGTTCTGGAGTTAAGAGATGCACACACATATTCATTCACAGAAAGTCTTTCTTTTATTCTAAAAATTTATTTTTTTCCGTATGAATCCTTAATACAATATAGTCCAGTAAATAAAAAATAAAAAACAGTTCGCTTCTATTTACAAAAATTATTGTTGGTCTTAAAAATTTTAATACTTGTACCATTAGCAATACTAAGTAAACTTTTAAAATACTATTAAAGAGGAGAAATGTAAGTAAAATGAGTAAAATAAAAGGTGCTTTACCGATACAGTTTCGAGGCCCAGCTGAAAAAGGAACATAAGCGAACGGGTGTCTTCCGACTGAGTTTTCTGGAAGAAACCGGTCAGGATCAAAAACTTCTGGATTTGGAAAAATTTCTTCATCTCTATGAAGCATGTATGTGAATATCATACAATTTGTCCCCGTTGGAATACTATAGCCGTCTATAAAGAAAATTATGTACCAGAGTACAATGCATGAAACAATACAAATACTTTTTCTTCTGTTTATTGGAATTATATCTAGGTATTTCTGTTCATAACTGCATGCTGTTTATTGAAAACAACAGAAAAAAGAACAGTAAATTAAGATAAATAAGAATAATTAAAATAATAAAAATAATTGTCGTAGGAAAATAATTTTGTAAAATTAAATTCATTATTTGCAAATTTATTTTCATTATAAAATCAGTTAACAAGCAAAAAATAAATAACTAAATATTTTTCTCAAACAAAACAAAAGGTATTATTAGCTATAATTTATATTTTAATATCATAGAAATTAATCAATGAAGTAAGAGGTTTATCATATTTGAAAGAAAAAATCTATATGAATTAACTTACTTAGACTAATACTTATTGGCTATAAAAACTCAGTAAGAAATTATTTTGTAAATAGCTATTTGGGGAAAATTTAGATAATCTTGGAGAAAAGACTCACATCCATTTTAAAGCATAATTGTAATGTTATGTTCAAGATAGTGATAAGATAAGTTACATTTTTTCTAGTTACGTCATATTGCATCCAAAATATTCCTTTTACTTTTCCAAACATGCAATTTATTAGTTTCCTGAATTTTCACTAGATGGAAGCACAAAGCACAAAAGTTCTCTTTTTTTTACATGGAAGTCCTGGTATCGTTACAAAAACCATCCTAAACAATTTGAAAAATTTAGATTATAGAAAGGCTTACCGAATATAATTCCGTAAGCCTTTCACCTATTCTGACATACCATTAAAATTTCAAGAGGGTACTAATTTATATCACTTTTAAGGAACTAATTGAAAGATTTAGGAGACATAAATATTTTTGTTCAAATAATATATGACTATATCTATGAAATATATTAATTTTATAATTTAAATTAAAGAGATTGTTTTTATCATAGTAAATTTGTATTTTAGGAAAACAGAGAGGAGCTATGGATTAGAAAAATACTTACTAACTGTTACATCATGGCTAATTTCTCGACCAATATAGGGAAGAGATGGATATAACCTCTGGCTTTCCTAAATAATATGAACACAGCGATTTACATGAAACATATAAAATGAGGAAACAAGGTAAGCGAGGACAGAAATGTTTGTATTTTAAAACTTAAAAAACTTTTTTGATGAATAGATTTTCAATTATTTTATTTTAAATTCATTTTATAATGAAGAAAACTTGAAAAATGAAAAAAAAAATTATACAAAGTAAAACTTAAACAAGTTTTTATTTTTTATTTTCAAATTACATGTATAATTTTTTTCATTGACAATTTGCATTGCTTACTTTAGTGGTTAACATACGGAGGGAGATTACTATTACTTTCTAGGTTATATCATTCTTATGTAAGGGAGAGGGGGGCACATGTGAACAATTTTTTTTATTTCTTCACTTTTCGAAAAATATCATCAATTTTTCATAGTAAAAAAGTCCATATGTTTAAATAGTATTTTCTTTGTCTTGTGGAATTTTTTAAGATTTTTCAATAAAATATTTCTTTACTTTATAATATTTTAGAAAAATGACTTCAATTGTTCACATGTGCCCCTATTGGGGGCACATGTGAACAGGCCTGGGGCACATATGAACAAGATTAAAAACACAAAGCAATCATCATATTTCAAAGAAAAAAAATCTTTAATATAACAGATATAGATACGCATTATACTGAGGGGGTTGTAGCTTACTATGTGAATTTAAATTGTACAACAGTACTGTCAATAAGAAAATAATTTTTCAGCTGTACAATAATTTATCCGTAATTGGGTTTTTCGCAACTTCATGTTCCACGGGTGTTGTAATGGGCCTTTTTCTTTCTTCTCTAATACTCTTTCATGTTTTTTTTTTCATTTTTTCTATCTTTTCATTTGTAGCTTTAACAATTCTATTTTCTCAGGTGTATCAGTTAATATGCGTGATGCGCGATCAACCATTTAATAAAAAAAAAATTTTTTAAAGGAAAAATTAATAAATTAATTATGGAAAATTAAATAATGATAATTTTAAATGCATACATATTTTTTAAACTTATAATATCATGAGGATAATAATCTTAATACTATGTAGGGGCACTTGTGAACTGTTCACATCTGCCCCAGATGTTTTGTTCACAAGTGCCCCCATCATCCTTCTTAAACCTAACTTGAAAAATAAAGAACTTTTAATTGAGTAAAAAAAAAGAATAATTGTCATAAACTTACCTGAATGTTCATATAATGATCTGCAATAGTTAATTTTAGTTTATTAGTTGATTTATATTATGCTTTCACTTGGAGAAGCGAGCGATTATAATATATGCAACACCAGCTGATACAAAGAAATTGTCAGAATAGACCAACAAAATGTCTCATTGTTCTGAAAGTTTTTCAGAGAGGTAGGACTAGTACTGCCATCAATTGAAAATTTTTCGAGATTTTTTATTTCAAATCATATTGGTAAAACATACCATGTTCACATGTGCCCCCTGTTCACATGTGCCCCCCTCTCCCCTACATCATGTTATTCAGGTTGTTCGTGTGATTCCTATATTTCTCATATAATACCAAACAAAATACAGATTAATGCTATTCATTATTTTTTTACCTGAATTCATAATTTTATTTAGAAAGTACTCAATACATCCTAAGAGATGAGATTAATTTCCAGAATGAATTACAATTTTATGTATAAATTTAGTGTTAAAATGGTAATTTGAAAAACTAATAAATAAGAAAATTTTATAAGGGATATAGTCCTGTTATTTATTATAAATAATTTATGTAAATATTAGTACACAAAAACTTATGCGCAATTGAAAATTACGAATATAATATAATATATAAAAATAAGCTAATATAATAAATATAATAATTAACTAATATTTGATATTTTTGAAAACATATATTCATCTAATTATTAAGCATATAACATAAATTCATATAATTATCAACATATATTCATCTAGTTAAGATTTACAATCACATTTTATGTTTTTGGACCATCTCAATTTGTCTGTATTTTTTAATCACGTAATATATTAGGAAAGAAAAATAACTCTTATATATCCTGCAACATTTTTTATGAAAAGTAAACGTCTATAATTAAAACCCTATCAATTATTTTTAACTCGAATTAAAAAAAAATGTAATTTATTTTCACAGTTTAGAGTGCCTTACTTAAAAGTTCTGATGAATTTTCTGAGCAGCTGAGGAGACAATATTGAAAAAACATGTTTACTTCATTTCTTATAAATTTAATTAAATAGTTATCATTATCTAAATATTAAGAAACTGAAGTATAAAATATTAATAAACAAGTGACAAAGTAAGGAATGTATGTTATAGAGAAAAATGTAAAAAAAATTTCTAATCTAAAAGTTTCAAAACTTACGGAAACCTTGAGACTCGCATTAAACAACTACTTCAGAATACCGATAATTGTAATCGAAGTTGTAGTTCTTTTAAACTTAAAATCTAGTATGAAATTTGAAGAATCATGTCCATAATAAGTTAAATGTATTTTAATATTCTGGTAACTGCATTTTTGGGAAATATAGTTTTGAAAAGGAAAGCCTGATTAAAAAGCCTTTATAATATTGTTTCTTTTTACCATTACGGAGGAAAAAACTCTAGTAAGATTACCGTACTGTATAGTAATGACATTTATGGGGAAAAACATAATTTTGATAAATAAAAGCTAAAATATACGTTATTTAAACTACTCATTTAGCAATTTTCCCGTTCATATGGTGACGGTTAATGGGAAATTCTGGTTTTCAAAATTATAGTTTATATTACCACGCATTTAACAAAAAATGCAAAACAGTAATGTAAAATTAGCCGAATAAATGGTTTTTATGCCTTTATCTAAAGTATCAAGATTAAATCACCAAATTTTATCACAGATTAAGAAAACCATATTTTATTGTTAGTTTTACCAAAATCATTATCAATTCTCTTTGGTAAAAGTTTACTCATATAGCCAGAAACGCGGTGAAGTTTACCACATTCTAGTAGTTTGGACCATGCTTTTTCTCGAAGCGCTATTTCTTATTTCCTATTTTTCGAAAAAACTGCAGTTTGCAAGTTCTGCATCTAGATAATTAAATACTAGTAATTTATATATATTTTGGTCATAACATAAGACGTAAAATTTTTAATTTTTTTAAAATATAATAACCAAAACTTTTGATAAGATGTGTTGTGTCTAGAGAGAAAAGTGATTTAATTTTTTTAAATTGAACCAATTGTACTATTGTAGAAACAGAATCCTTTTAGAATTAAAGGACAGAAATTTACCAGCCCCATAATTTAACGCTTTTCCCGTATCTGTAAAGAATAATGAAATAGAACGCCATTCTGGTTGTATTCATAATTGTAGTTATCATGGCCATGAATCATGAGCTTTTTACCTTCAAAACGCATTCAATATATTTTAAATTTTTGACGTCTTCAATAGTGAAGGGTCGATCATAATCATCTCCAAATATTTCTTCCAGCTCCTCTTGGCACTTCCGTTGCACTTTAGGATCTTGCCCAATAAGATAAAGAGCCCAGCTCATTCCTACTGCTGTTGTGTCATGACCCTAAAGGTAAGCAAAATATTTGAATCTATAGTAATACACTTCTAGAAAAATTAGTTCAATGTCGAAACAGAATAATGAACAAATTTGCTGAAACCTTAATAAGATTTTGAATCATGTTTTAATTCGCACAATAGTTTAGTTCTTTAGTTTCAGTTTTACCTTACACAGCCTTACCTTACAGTTTCAGTATTACAGTGATACAGCACTATTTTCACAAATCTAATCCCTCCCAATCAAATAAACGCCGAGATGTATATTTTTCGTAAAATCAAATGAATTAATTTCTTATTTAACCACAGTGTGGCATACATTACTTAAGATTTGCAATCAATAACTACAATCAAACCAAATCAAAAATGATACTACATAACCAAAAATGGTGCTTGCAGCAAACCATGAACTGCTTTGCTATTTGGAAATAGATAACAGAGTGACTTAAACAATGATTAAATATGGAATATAATAGTACTTTTTTTTAAAATTATGTGCTGCATAGGATTAAAAATTTAAATAAATCGTTTTTTAAAATTCTATAGAATTAAAAAAAAAACGATTCATTAAAATTAATTTAACGATTAAGCTGTACCACTTGAAAGATCTGATTATTTAGGAAATAAAATGCGCTACAATCGACCAGTACCATGATAGAACGCCTTTATTTTATCTGAAAAAATTTAAAAGAAATATAATTCTAATGATATGCTGACTCTGTATTATTAGTGTTATCATGGGCTAATTTAACGAAAGTAAAAATAGTTTTTTAACTATTTTTTTATACACATTTCTAAAAAATTTAAAATTTCCTTTTTTATATTACGTATTTTTGAATCATCATTAAATTATTTTCTGAAGTAAATAAATCGAAAATAGTGTCCTACACTGTTGATAAGAATAATCAATTGAAAGTAAAAAAAAATTTTTATTATTGCAACATAGCGTAAAAGCTTTCATTTAATTTTGAACGAAATCAGTAACAAAAAACCGTGCATTATTTGGAGAAAATAACAAAACAGAAAATATAGTTTTGTTTCGAAAATATTTTCATAAAACTAAACACCCACCGCAAACATGAACGTGTTCACTTCCTCTGTTATGTCTTCTTCTGTAAAACGAGGGTCAGCTAAATGTTCTGATAGCAGGAGATCAAGGAATGCTTTTTTCCGTTTTGATCCAAAATTGTCACTGTCGAATACCTCATCCAAATTTGCACCTTTTTTCAATTCTCTTAAAATATATGCCTTCCGCTCTCGAATAACCTAAAAAAGAACAAACTAGATAAAGTATTTATTTACGATTTTAAAATTTTGACACACGAGTCTCGCGGATATTCTAGTCTTCCACAATATTTTGTTACTTTTTTTTCCATGTTTTTTGATATTTTCTCTTATGGTACTCTATAAGGTCAAAACAATAAAGAAAAAAATGTCAAAAATTACTATTTTCTAATAGATAAAAAAGAAGAAAATATTTTAATTATTGCCGGGGATAAAAGAAAAACATAGGGCGCATTAAGTGCAAACGAAGTGGGAAGAGTTATCGGTGGTGATAGAAATTAATTCCGCAAGTGATGTGGTTTATATATTCCGTTTAAGATTTGAGATATACAAATTATTATCCTTTTTTTAGGCAACTTAAAAAACATAGTTTTTAAAACATTTGTTTTATTTTATTCTTTGTTCGCACAGAGGTTCACTTGAAGTTTAACTAATCCTAAAATGGTAAAATTTTCGATTGACACTATTTTCTTATATGATAAAATGTCAATCGATTCTGTTTGTAACGGTTGAAATGCTTTATGATATTTATCCTAACTGTAACTGATAAGAAGAATTAGGTCTGTGGAGTGAATTATTCGAGCAGAATTTTGGAAATAGTAAGTGGATGAAAAGGATGTCCTCTCCTTAACAATTATTACATGAAAAAAAGAAAGATTATTTGTTATTGTTACGTTTTTAATGATTTTATTTACACCAAGAATAGTCTGTAATAATGACTGAAATATGTTACGGTATATTGTCTTTCTGAACTAGCATCAGTTAAAATTTTAGCTCACTAGCAAGTCGGAAAGAAGTCAAAATTTTGAAGACAGCAAATTTGATCATGCAGCAAAAAAATGATGATGAATTCGGTTAGAAATAGTCGGGAAACGATTGAAATTTGTATTGTAAATTGGGAACAGAGCTCTGAAAGAGATTTGAGAACTCTAGCTGTGCCGGAAGTGACTGTAATTTGATAAAAATAAACTCCCTGTGGCTGTAATATTTCATTAAATTCTGTTTGAAGCAATCAAGAAACGAAGAAATTGTCTTGTCATCGGGCAAAAAATTCCAGACAAGATTTTTCCCCTTTAGTAAAATAAAAAGTGGTAGACATTTTTATTGATTATTGCCCAGGTACTAACCTCCAGTAGAGATTTGGATTTTAGGTAAAATTTTGAATTTATTTTGAATTTTCTTGATATATGGGTGATTCTCACGAAACATGACAATTCGGACCAAAAAATTTCTTCAAATTCAAAGTCTTCAGAATAATCTAAAATTTTTTTTTGTATACTTCTTTAGCTACACTTATTAATGTCTTATAGATAGCAGTGTAGTTTATTGACATTTGCTCGAGAAAAAAAATAAAATAGAAATTCACCAAATCNATGACAATTCGGACCAAAAAATTTCTTCAAATTCAAAGTCTTCAAAATAATCTAAAAGTTTTTTTGTATACTTCTTTAGCTACACTTATTAATATCTTACAGACAGCAGCTTAGTTTATTGACATTTGCTGGAGAAAAAAAATAAAATAGAAATTCACCAAATCTAGAATGCCAGAAAAATGCCATATTACCTTAGAAGTTTAAAAAACAGTAATTTTAAGTTAATAGTAAGTAACTCAACTTAAGCCTTTATGTTAGATACACCATAAATTGCTTAAATTAATTCTTTTTATACCCTGTAGAAAGAAACAAAAAAAATTTTGTTGTTGGTATGTACAGAATAAAATTGTGTATAATAATCAATCATTAAATAAATAAATAACTTTGATTACATCCAAGCATATCACAATCATACATAAACTTGGTGTTATGTTAAGATTTGCTTTCCCTCTTTACAGTATTAGCAGTTAAAAAGAATTTCTGGTAACACTTCAATGTCCTGGCATTCATAAGCCAGGAAAATGTCAGCCAGGATAATGACAAATTCGCCATTTTATAGCATATAACTTTAATTTAATTTAATATTTTGGCCGAAGACATTTATATTCTGCAGAAAACAACAGTATTTCTTAAAATAACTCAGATAAATCTATGTGGTTTTTGTTATTAATGATTTCAAGAAGCCAGGAAAAATGATAGCATAGAAACCTACTCACCTTGAAAAATGTTTTGAAATAGATTTTTAGCCAGAAAATTGGTTCTTTATTCATGCAACAAGACATGTTCAGGTAGGAGGGTATCTAATCAATCTATTAACATAAAATATTGATTCCTGGCGCTATCTATTTTGGTTATAAATCACTAAATAAAAGTAGCCAGGAAAATGACAGATTTTCATGGGACAAGCAAATTAGTGACAGAAAATTTTTTTTAAACGAAGTTTTAGTAAACAATACCCTCTGCGTATATTCTAGAAATGCTTACATAGGATAAGATAAAAAAATAAGATTTTGAAAAATGTATGCGAAGTTTTGAAGCTAGTTATTATTGGAAATATTGTTTGGGACNATATATATAAAATTGTCAAGTGCATGTATATATATATTTGTACTTAACACACTTTTTATGATATTGTAGTATTAGATCAATACCTTTCAAAAAAGTAGAAAATAAAGGGGTCCCTTTAACAGATTAGGAGAAATAGCACTTGAGAATTTTCTATGAAATATTCCTCGAAACTTTAAAGCAATAAAATGATTAGACTTGTGGTTTTGAGTAAGTAATTTAAAACCACACGTTTCTCAGTTTTATGATTTTTTAAATTTTGTTTTATTACAGTTTAAACTCTTGAAAACTGATTTGGATGACACTAATTTATTTTAATTCACTCATATCGGATGAAGGCATAAAAAGATGTTAATTGCATAAAAACAAAGATACTTATCAAAAATCTAAAGGCATCTAACTGTGTACTATTTAACTATCTAACACTAACTGTCGATTGCAAAATTGTATTGGCATAATTTTGTTACAAAAGCGTAATAGAAAATAGAAAATATTGCACGCTTTACATTTCAAATTGCGAATTGGAGGCGGCCTTGTATTTTACTCGAATCAAAAGATATTGGCAATACAGTTAATGTCCATCCTCAATTTTTTTGCGAAAATTTAATAAAAATGTTTAAATGCATATTTAGAATTTTTCCTTTCCGTCTGCACCCCTACAGCAATTGAGCTCGGTTGAGAGAGGAAGAACCTCTTATAAAGAAATGCTTTTATCTCTTTTATTAAAGGGATTCGTTCAAAAAGAATAATATATTAAACTTGCGTATGATACATATCCATTACTTTTCATTTGTAACTTAATTTTTAAATCAAAATTATAATGAAACTAGAGATTGAAAAAAGCGTTTGAAGTTTTCAGTGAGACATTGAGATGAATTTTTAAAACAACTTATTTTCATTGCACAGTACATAATAAAAAAAGGCGCCCTAAAAATCTAAAAAATACTTAATACTAATACTAATAATAATAAACTGGTCTCTAAGAACTTAATAGATATATGTTTATGCAAACTATTATGAGATACATTGGGAACAAAAAAAAAGCGTAAAAAATTAATTTAAAAAGAATTTCTATAGAACTATTTTATATTAATAACGCATTTAGATTCAGTATAAATTGCTAAGAGCTAAGCACAGTTTTACATTATGGAATGGATGAGGAATAGATAAATCTATTAAAATTTTTCCCGCTCCGTTTTACGTTTTTTTGAACTTGCGGTAATTGTTATAACAGTTTAAAACTACAGGGATAGCCGTCAGATAAATTTTTTTAAAAGCTGTCCGCCTTTTCAGGAAAGCAAATATTTTCTCCTATTATGCAAAATGTCAGATCACCCTATTTTAATGAAAATCTTAAACTCTTAATTTCATTAATTCTTAATGAAAATCTTAAATCTTAATCTTAAATCTTTCAAAACTTTAGAAATCGAATAATAAAATATTAATTATAATATGCAAATATATAATATATATAACTTGAATTGCGTGAATACTGAAAAAGAATTTTAAATTTTTTTAAAATAAAATATATTTGAATTAAGAAATATAAAAACTATCAGCAAAGATCTGAATTAGCTATCGTTAATTCGTAAAATAAATTACTGCCAACAAAAGAAATTAAATGGAATTAAAATAAAACACTCTATTTGATGAAAAATGTACATGCTGCTGCCATCTATCAACAGTTTATTTTAAAATAGTCGTTTATTTACAGTTATTTAGTTAATTCGTTTATTTTTTATATAATAAAAATTTACCTTATTTTAAATTTAATGTTTGTTTTCCACAATTTTGCTGCTCGTTAGAAAGTTATTTCTTTATGGCTAAGGTGAAACAATTTTCAACTATTCTACAATTAAAAAAAACAAGAAAAAAACTACCAAATGATAGTGCTAAATGATTATTAAAATGTTAAATTAATTTTAAGTTCAAGTAATCTATGGTAAAACCATTGTAGTTTGCGTTATAGTCAGCTATATATATATGTCCTAAATTTCATANTATATATATGTGTGTGTGTGTGTGTGTGTGTGTATATATATATATATATATATATATTTAACAGCTTTCAGTTTTCAATTTGACTCTGAAGTTGTTAAACGACAGAGAGGGTTCAGCATTTCGTATAACATATTTTTCGAAAGAAAGAAACATTGATTTTTGCCTTATTTGAACCTTCATAGCTTTATCTTAGCATCGCTGAGATGCCTGATTTATTTTATTTGATCTAGACAAGCATTGTTTTTCAAATATTGTTTAAGTATTTATTTTATTTACTATTTATTTTATGTTGAATTTAATGAAATCCAATAGTTTCAAAATTATGAGGATTTATGCGTAAAAAGTTTTAAGTGAAAAATTTTGAATTTTTAATACTTGTTACTTTCTTAACATTTAAACTATTAGGTATATCGACTTATTTTAAAATTTTTTGATTTGACTTAAGTTTTTAAGTTCGATAGATTAATTCTTGCTCTTATTTAATTCAGCGTAAAAATGACATAAGAAATAATGGCTCATTTGTCTAGATATGTATTTTAGAAG